CTGCAGGTAGATATAAACGAGTGAAAGAATCAAGAGATTTAAGTATTGCTATTAGAAAATCAAAGCAATCTGAAAAATGCCAAGACGGCCAATTTACTAGTCAACTCATCCAAATTCCAGAGGCTGATCTAACTGATTTTATACACTCACAAAAGCGTGTTTCAGCTAGCAATTTATCCATGATAACATAATGGTTTAACTTTTGAATATGCTGCTCTATTAAGTCACTTGCAGCCCTGTTATTGCACACCGATACCATCCCACTCCTTGAATTTTTCCTATTATATACACACACAAGTATCTTGCCTGGGACAGCAGGAGGCACTGTGCGGCGCAGAGCAGTGACAGTAGCCATGGCGATTTCTTCACTGCTGTACTTAGTTGGGCAGGAGTGTCCAGCTGTGACCATGTTGGGCTTCAGCAGTGTCCCCTCCAGGTACACGTGGTGGTCCGACAGAGCCTTGTACACTGCAGCAAGGACCTAACAGCAGGAGACAAACGACAGCACGCAAGTCCAAACTTAAACTCTCCAGAACAGATAAAGGTGGCAGAGTTCCACATTCTGCAACATGTTACCTTCTCAGTGACGTACTGGCAACGCTTCAGGTCATGATCTCCATCAGGAAGGATCTCAGGCTCCACAATTGGAACAATACCATTCTGAGAGAGATTACAGAGTGTAAATTTAACACCAGTATTTTAGAAATATACAATACTACCATTTGATGATCAGTAGTGTCCTTTCCAAAAAAGGAAAGGAATCCTCTATAGTACCACACTAACCTGTTGGCAGATGCTAGCATATCGTGCCAGCACGTTGGCGTTCTCAAAGATGGCCAGCTCAGACGGCGTGGTTTCGCTGATCTTCAGCACAGAACGCCACTTGGCGAAATCTGCGCCGTCCTTCTTATACTGCGCGCATCGCTCGGACAGCCCATCCAGACCTGCACTCAAACAACGCACACAGAACCAGCCATGAGAAACACACAGGGCTTCCGTGAAGTTCATTTCAGTTCTCAAACTTGTGCGTCTACTGTCTCCTACCCTGAGTGGTGGTCTCGCCATTTGTTCCAGCGAGGGGTACAACACCCTTGTCAACCTGTAAAGACAGAAACGGAAAATGTTCTGAATTTGACCTGAAATAACTTTAGCCCAGTTGGTCCTAACAACATGATCTGCTGTTATGTGTGGGTCTGAGTGTATGTAAACACACTGAAAGCGGGTCAGCGTGTTTTTTTTGGTTTAAGAAAGAAAAAAAAAAAAAAAACAAAGAACACCTTTCAGGTTTTACCTGCTAAACGATGAGGGTTTACTCTGCCTGCTAAGCTGAGTCACTTGACTGCATTATATCAACAGCACAGTGATGATGACATTCAAAACCAAAGAAGGTTGAGATTTTCAGCACTCAGGCTCTTGTGTTTTAAGCTAGAGTCTGAGCATGACAAACTATGTAAACTAACACGTAACGGCACAAACCAGGCAATGCAGCAGAAGCATAATGAAACTGAGCTGAAACTAATTTTCAAGAATGCACCAGGGTAAACTGATTACCCAGCAACGGCAATCCCCTGCCTACCTTGATGCCAACGACAATGCCGCGGTCTTTGATGAGCTTGGCGAAGTTGACGCCATCGTCAGTGTTCTGGTAGAGGGTTTCATGGAAGAAGATGACACCTCCGATACAGCTGTCGATGCGCTGGTCGGCTGTGAAGAGCAACTGGCGGTAGCGGCGCCTGTTCTCCTCAGTGTTCTCGACCCCAATGGGGTTCAAGCGCTTTGCCATGCTACCTAAAGAGCAAAAAACAAGGACATGGATTTAATAAAATACACACACACAGACGCCACAAATGTCATTTATTTAGCATCATTTACAGTATAAAATGGCTTTCAGCAGAAGATTAAAACTGCTCGTTTGCA